TAAAATAATGATAATGGCATTTACGAATATATATTTTTTGTTCCATTGTAGTCTGTTAAACTCAATTTCTTAAGTTATCAATTTATAAGTAGTTGTAGTTTTAATAGTTATATTCAGCCTTTGAATTGGGACGTTGGTAATGAATGCAGGATTTAGTTTAATCTCTTTCCGTAGAATAATTGTGACCGAGAAAAAATATACCTATTGACGTAGCGTCATATTTTTTTAATAGGTACTAAAATTATTATGAAGAAAATCTTAAATGTATTATCTCAATATTTATAACACATTTTATGACACAATAAAATGTGTATTATTCATTTTGTTTTTAAAAAAGATGTTGAAAAAATGCATAAAATGATTTGTATAATTTTGTTTTCTGCGTGTTGCAATAATTATAACCACTGCCTACGTATTCTAGTTACTAGATTTCCTATAGTTTTGGCTATGTTTATTGTGTACAATTTTCTTTAAGTCATATTTTGACTAATTATTTAATAATTTACATCCTAAAGATAAGTTTTTTGTAATTTTTTTTCAGTATTTAATTTTAAATATCATTTTCATCTACAGAAAGTTTCTTAGATATGTTTACGATTTACAATAAGACTCAGTCGGTCTAGATTAGGTGCCTGTGTGACTCTTATAACATAGTTTAAACTACACAATTAGATATTGAGAAGTACTTAAGTATTATACTCGATAAGTTAAGTTGGTAATTCATCAAATTTGGTCAAACGTTTTTTTTTTCATACCTACTCTTTTGGCCTTATTGGTTCATTCGTAAATATAATTTTATAATTAAATAGATTAATTTAATTTAGTTTATATTATTGGTACTTAAGTAATTAGTATTACCTATTGTGTAATTTATTTTGTATGGACTTTATAATTAGTCGAAATTAAAAAAAAAAAATAGTAGTTTAGCGTCTATAGGCTTGAATAGCCTATATAGACCATTGAAGGCATATAATTTTCTTATTTTGTTTTTGTTGATTTTCAATCATTGGAATTTAGCTTGAACGTTAATACATTTTGTATAACAGCCATATTTTTCATAATCATACAGAGGTATGTATAGACTGAAAATTATTAATTTTTTAAAATCTTTTAAAATAATAATTACTTGTTTCATACAAAATAGTATTACGGTTATTGAACACCTAGGTGTTTAATTTATTTTTTTTTCAGGAATTTGGAACATACCTATTGTATACCATACATATTTACTGTGAAATTGTTAAAAGTTTAAATTTAAACGTATATAACCTTAAAATATCATTACCTACCGGACGTTCTATGGCATTTAATGATTCAGTGCTCAAGGTTCCTCGCGATTTTAACGGACTTTGAAAATTAAATTTATCTATCACAATTCAAAGTTTATTTTAAGAAGTTGCGCCGCATATAAAAATAAATACGTTTTTACATTCGAAAACCGTACAAGTGTTATTTATTATACTATTAAAATAATAGTTAGCAATAGTAATATTGCCAGTAACACAATTATGTTAGTAATATTTGTATATTAATGCTTAGTTAATATGTCAATGCAAAGTAGACTGCTATACCAGTCAATGTTATACACAGTGCATATTGTATAGGTACATATTATTATTATTATATTACTTTAATGATAATAGTAAAATTAACGATTTAAAAATTCCGAACAAAACTATTTACATAATAAATATAAATGTGTTTTTTATATATTTATGTATATGTATTTAAATTAAAAAATAAACGTATGATTCATAGTTCCATATATAAGTGACGAGTACTTTGTTGTGAAATACTCTGATCATAGATTTAAAATATGTATCTTATATTTTAACTGTATTTTAAACCTAAAGTCTCGATCTTGCTGAACCAAATCGTTATAATGTATTAACCATTTAATTTTGTTGGAAATGAGATCGTTTGAAGGAGAGTAATGAACTTGATTGAAGTTATTATATTAGTAAAACGCGTAAAATTTAGGTATCATCATATTTAATTTGATTTAATTTTAAATTCCATGCTGCACATGTTTCAGTTATCGTTCAAACTGCTAGTAACGTTTAAAAACTTTGATACTAAAAATTATTACAGGGCTTGACGTTAATTTTTTTGCTTTCCAAAAACTAAAGCACCGGGATAAATCACTACTGGAAAATTGTATATACGCCAAACCTGCAACATTGGTTAGGTTATACCGCAATAGTCGACAGCTGTTGCACTGACGAAACGTTATTTTGTATTAGCATATTATTAAGTATAAATAATAATAATACGAATTTAACTTGATTATTTCGTTTCTAATTAAAATGTTCAATTTATTATTATAGTATTTCAAATGAAATTCGCGTCTCGTTGATTTGTCAAATAATACGTCAATTTAGGAACAACATTGAAGTATTAATCTAACTATATATGCGCTATATGGTATATTATGTAATATTTCATTATAAATTCAAAATATAATTTGAATCTCCTTTCATTGATAATCAAATGAAGTCGATACGCCATATGAGTTGATAATAAAATATGCTCTAGGTTTTGGGTGTTCAAACATCCCCCCGAAATGTTTAGTTTTCTGTATGATTATTCATTTATTTCATTTCATTATTATATTATTATTATAAGTTTCAATAACTGATTTTCAAAAACACATAAAAGCAACATTTTATTGCGTACTTTCCCGATGCTTTGTAATGTCATGCATCACAATTACATATTTAACAATAGAACTATTTTTTACCTTGATAAATGCGGTTTTTTTTTTACAAAACTCCGGCATATCGCTATAAAATTGAAATAATTTACTATGTTCAGTTGAAAACAGGTATCTAGTATCTATTTTTTACTATAAAAACAATCAATTATCAAATGTTAACAAAGTGTCATACAACTCGATGAAATAAAAAAAATTGACATACGAGCGAGTAAAATGTAACGAGAAAAATTGAATTGTTCGAATTTTTTAATTACCGTAACTAGATAAATTTTGATTTTTTACAAATTTCTTGTACATAAATTACTTGGAAATGTTTTATTCAAATTTGTTAAAAAAAAAAAAATGTGGGGTGTCGTTAAAAAAAAAATACCGCCATACTGTTCCTGTATCTTTGCAGGCGTAGGATTATGGGCGTTAGGCGTTTTCAATTTTTTGGATTTCTACCAGAAACCTTCTTGTTCAAAATTCAATTAGTATATTTTCTGAAAGAAAATTTTATCTATAGTTGGTGAGTAACGTAGTTGATTTTCCTAATAGTCTCCCTAAAAACGGAAAAAATCCGAAAAAATCTTAGGTAAAACGGGAAAATGTAAAGTTTAATTATTTTCGATTTGTTATTTTTTTCCGTTATTAGGTTTACAATAATTGTGTAGATCTGAAATATATGCATATGTGGATGCATTAACGATAGTTGTATTAGTTGTATAAGTCGGCAATTCGAGCAGCGCTGTTGGTGCCGACCAAAGAAAATTACATTGAATAAATGCAACCATCTTTATTTTTCATTTGGTTTTATATTAATTTTTCGGTGAAGCAAAACTGTTTGAAAATTTAACGTGAGTTTCAATTATTGTAAGTTGAGTTAAATATAGTAGTTTATTTTTATGAACTCTTTTTAGTTCAATATTTGACGAAACTCATGAATAAAGATCACGACATTTTGAAACATGCTTAACCGAACTTCGCTTAGAATCGTTTTTCATTTTTAATACCTTATCATCACGTACTTATGAAAAATAACTCTATATATCCTACCTTTCTAACTTAACAACTATAACAATAGCACACTCATCAACAGTATCAGCTTTATTTTTATATTGTTCTTTTTTTTTTTTGGTCGTAATTCTGTTAAAAATAATCATAGAAACCTGAAACATCATCAAATACTTATGATTATAATAAATATATATTAGCACATTTTATACGTGACACAATTGTCATAATATCCTGCAGGAATTTTTTAACTTATAGCTATTTGAGTTATTCGAGTGTTTAGTTTTTCTCTTTTTTGCTTTATGCAAATATAAATTGTGTTATTTATTTTTATCAGCGTTTATTATGTACAACCTTTCGTCAAAATTTGTTAAAAACATATTTTCCGTTACATTTGTGTTTTTTATATTGATACCTACTTCAAACTTTAACAAAATCCAGTTAAACGATATTATCCATTATCTTAATTTTTAGAAAAAATTAAATTGCATTCCTATTAGTATTATCGTACCAATTTTTAATAGCGAGGACTTCGATATAGCATTTATTGCCCTAAACTAACTGTTTATAAATACCATAGTAATAGTAATATTGTTTAGATTCATATTTTATTTGTTCGGAAATATCAATATGAACTCGCATTTAATGATTGATAATAATTTCAATGATTTAATGGTTTTTAGGCTGCACTCGAGCTGCATGCCAAAAAAAAAAAATATCCGAATTGCATGCTATCTCTTAGAGGGGTCCGTCCGAATTGCGTGCCGTGTATTATTAATAATAATAATAAAAAATAAAATGGCATTTTCCTACCCACTTTTACAGACTTAGGACTGACAGTAAAACTTAACTATTGTTATACTGGTGTGGTTAAAAATGTTTTATTTCACTATTTTAAAGTATTTATACGTATAAAATCTTCAATATATTATGATCTAACGTCCTTTGTACCTATTTTTTATGTGTCATGTGTTATGTTATGATGTTAAATTTATTTTGTTTTAGACAACACCTTATATGATAACTTTTCTATACATATTTTTCTATTAATTTCATTATTCTGAAATTGTGTTATCACTGAACTTATAAATTCTTTTTTTTCTAATATTTCTCGACGTCTTTTATTTAAATTGGAAGAACGCATTTTTACATACATATCACATTGTATTTGCTTTAGGACATCGGCTAGTTGGAATATGCATATTAGCACTTGGAGAGTGAAAACATGCTATTCAGTTTGAAATGGAATGATTCACAAACATGGGTTGTACGCATTGTAGAACTAGACAGTTCAGCCCAAATAGATGGTAGAAACGAACTGTTTACAGGCTATTACATAAGTTTCTAAGAAATAATCGCATAACACATGTATGCGATCATCGTTGGGTTGAAATGCAATCAGGTCGCTTGTAAAACAGTCTTCTACATCATTTGGATTTAAAAATAACAGTCCAAAAAATGTTAAAAACATTCCTATTTCTGTTTTCTTTTTAAAATGTGTACATAAATCTACTGATCGGAATTTTCTCCATATACTCTGTCCTAAGTGAAAACGACATCCTTTTCTTACTGCATTTGGAAAAACAACTATCAGTGCAGAATGAACAACAAGTTCAAAGTAACCGTAAATTTTTTTTGGCGATAAATTTAAGGTCAAATCATTCATCTTTATTAATAAATTAGTCAAAGCATCTCCATAAATTTTTTTTGTTCTTCCCATTAGTAAAAAAAAAAATTAGTGGGATATAGTTATGATTTCGAACACCGTGGATTGTGAATTTTATTAAAACATTTTAGGACAACTTTTAAATGTACCGTCAACAAACAATATTTCGCACTCAATTAAATATTTCAAATTTGATTATATTGTAACAATATTTTTTTCATAGTTATTAATAAATACAAATTCTTTGTCTCGATTAGTTTTGATGTTCAAATTATCTAAAGCTGTAAATCAATCATAGTACCTGGCAGTTTGGGAAGAATGCTTGATCAGATGTAATGTAAATTGTTTTGAACACGTTTAGTGTCATCTGAGGCCCATGTGCTAATATCTCTTTGTAATAGTCCACGATGCAGTATTTTACTAGGTTTTTCAAAAGGATCGTCTAAAGCTTTAGGTTTTAAATTATTACACACCTGTTTTCTATTTAATTTTTTTTTGTCATCTTTGTTATGATTATGACCGATATTTCTGAATATAACTTCATGTTCACTATTTAATTTGATATAAGCCTTACACGATCGTTTACTGAAAGCCCACCTTTCAATATCCTTACATAATAATTTTTGAAAATAAAATTTAAAATCATCTATTAGAACTAGTTTTTTGTTTTTTTCATTGAGCATAATATTTTCAACTAGTGGTTCCATGTTAACGTTTCGATGCTTACTAATATTATGAAACTTAGAAAACCCATTTGTTTTAATATCTAATATAATAAAAAAGTATACACTTCATACTGCACTCGTGGTAATCCGCAATTTTTTATTTTCATCGTTGATATGAAAATTATATACGGCACGCAATTCAAACATACCTCGATAAGATATGGCATGCAATTCGGACGTTCCAATTTACATTTATTTTTTTGGCATGCAATTCTGATGCAACGGGTTTTCAAATATCTATTAAAAATCCGACTACTCAGTAACATGAAATAAATTATACTTTAAAATATATTTATAGGTACTCTGATAAATAAAAAATAAATATTTGTTTGAAATAAATAGTTACTTTGATTTTTAAATTTGTAATCGTAGTATTCGTAATAATAATATTTCCATTATTTCACTCAATATTTTCGTCAAAATTAGGTCTTGTAAAACAAAAAAAAAAATTTATAATACATTACACTCTAATTTCTTTACCGTACCACTATACGAAGTGCAACTTATTAGAATTATAACCTCCTGTTAAATTTTCAATGTTAAATTTATAATTGGTAAAACAACTATAAAATCCAACTATTACCAAAACATAAAAAGGTAAAAATAAATCTCTATAAATATAATTATTATACAAAAAAAAAATAAAAAATGTTCTTGGTAAATTACACGAATGTTAAAAAAATTTGCCACAATCTCAAAATTAACTATTTGTCCTCAAGAGAAACAAGAGAAGAGAACAAAAGTTATTATACATGATAATGTTTGTTACCAAACTCCTTGAATCATGTAACAATAGCAAGGTACGTCGAATACATTCCGATTTTATCAATTTATAATTTATGATAATTCGCTGGTATAATATAATTGTGTATGTTTTATCATAGGTGTTTAATACAGCCAATTGGTGGACACGATGTATATTGAACTCTTGTGGTGAAAATATTTATCATTTAAATAATTATTTTTAAAAACTAAAAGATTGTATTTTTATTATTTAGGATTTGAAGCTCATTAAATACACAGAAAACAATATCAACAATTGTTATTATTATGCATAAACGGTATTTTGCAGAGTTGTCCTCACGCATTTGTTTCTCGGGTCGACCGTGTTTTTTCTAATTGAGTTTGTAATAGTGTATTTATATGAAATTAAATAAATAATGTTATCCCGTTGTTATCTATGTCAGTGGTTCCCAACCTTTTTAGTTACGCGGACTACCAATTTTGTAAAAAAAAAGTTTGAGGCCCACTAAACTAATAATCAGGTAAAAATAAAAACACCTATATATGCAAGTATGACCAATATATATATTTATAATATATATAAATTATTAATGTACACACTGCACATATATTAGAAGTTGGCTTATTATTGTATTCAAATTATAAGTGGTTACAGTTAAATTTAAATCAATGCGATTTTTGACATTGTTTTTCTCCCACGAGAGTCAATATTGGGATTATGTTTATCAGACCGTAAAAAATTATAAATACCCAATATCTAAGTAGTTAAGAAAAAAATTAAAAATTTATAAACTTGCACGTTATAACCATCTATCTAAAATGTATTTATTTCCAGTTTGAAAAACTGTTCATGTATCACAAATTTCAATATTCATTAAAATATATCAATATTATAATAATTGTATTAATCCTTCATAATTTTAAGAGTAAAAACAAGTATATTAAGCACATAACATTTTATTTATTACAATTTTGAAATCAAATCTTCACACTGTTACATTAATTATTTCAAAACAAAAAATACGGACATACTTCTCACATAGATGCAGCCACTGTTGTTGGTGTGAAGTTGGGAAGGTAGGATATAGAGGGGAAATTAATTTGTATCTGTAAGTACCGATAAACCATTGCTTAGTAAAAACGATTCTGAGCGAAATTCAGTTGATAATGATACTTTGTCAAACAATATATACACCATACTATAGTAAAATAATTAAATAGGCATTATATATTTTCTTTAATAATATTTGTTTAATATTGTACCGATTTTCCTGTTTTTCTTCGTTTTTTCCGGTTTTTCATATTTGCTGACGTTTATACATATATACATTATACCTATAAATATATAATAGAATTTTCTAATTTAGACTTAATTCATGCCGTCAATCATTTCTATAATATTATTCATGGGATAATAAATAATTATATATTAATAATAATAAACAATTGTATATTCCTACACGTACTTATTACTCTTCGAAACACAAAAAGGAGTTTAGTAAATAATTAAAAGTTCTTATTTACCAAAAAAAAAAAAAAAATAGCGCACTTAAATTTCAAAAAACTGCGTAATAATCAACGCTATAAGTTCTTTTCACATCTTCGTAAATATGGAAAAATAAAAGTAAACTATACTATAACAACTATTTAGACAACATTCAAAACTCAATCAGCATAAACAGTAAACTATTCTGGAATTTTATTAAATCAAAATCATATTCTCGGCTTTTTACCTCAAATTGGTAACTTGAATAATTAATGTGCTGATAAAACGGCCTTGATAAGTTAACTCATTCGCCAACCATTTCTCTAGTGTGTATACAAAATCTAAATTACCAGCAAATGACTGTTTGTCCTAATAATCTAATTAATATTAATACATACTTTAATGATGTATATGATACTCTTATTAAACTAAAAAGCTCCTCACAAAAAGGTCCTGATGGCTTATCAGTTTATTTTCTAAAATGTTGTACATACTATATTGTTACTTCCATTCAAGTGGAGCGAAAGGTTACCTTTTCTGAAAGGAAATCGCTGTGGGGAGGTACTTTAGGGAGGCAATTTTTCGATTTTCTCAACAGTTTTCTCATCAAATGCGAAAAACCGAAAAAAATAAAAATAAGAAATGTATGTTGTCACATAAAATCTTGACGTATTAATTGACTACCTACCCAAATCATATAAATAAAAATCAATCTTTATTTTTAGAAGTTGATATTTTTTATCATACATTTCCTAAGCTAAGGGTCAGAAAGTTTTTAATTTTTCATATAGTATTCCGTTATCCGGATGTCCCCAAAAATCTGCAGCTTGGGACAAGTGCTCTTGTTAAAATTCCTTGTTAAATACGGCTCTGAGTGGCTGCACCCACGTGCGAAGTATGTCCGTTTTTTTAATTATTTTAACAATCACCGTAGTCTCGTTATTCTTACACTACATCACCGCGCATGAAAAAATATCGAACATATCGTGTACAAAAATATTTACATAATATTATAGAAACAATTTTAATTCTATGCGCATAACAATAATATCCTTGCTGCCACTGTTTTCGCCGTTCTCTTATAAACATATCATTTTCATTTTCGGGCTACGCATCGTGACATTCGTTCAACCGGGTAGCATATTGTTTAATATCATTTTAGTGAACCATAGCCCTATTATCTGTTCCCTTTATAATTGAAATCGCCGATTACGTTTCCACTCGGTGCGTTCCACGCGGTGTAATCCGATCGTTCCAATCTCAAAAATCGAAATTTCCCGACGACAAAAGCCAACATCTATAATAATAATATGGTCTATGGAATGTTTGACAGTTGCGGTTATTCCTTTGAAAATTAATATTTTCCTTACTACTTGACCCGATTTCCCGAATTTCCCTCATGATTCATATAGTAATATCGTATCAGTTTAACGTAGGTAACTACACAGTAAACTCATTAAAGTTTTAAATGTTTCGATAACAATATATTGCCGCTATTTGCCATACCTAATAGCTATAAGTGTTTTACAATTTACTAACCTTATTTTGTTCGGAAATATCGAAACGGTTTTATTTAGTGTGTTTATTTTATTTTTTCGTCTGCTTGGTTAAGCGGACACTACATATGTGTACAGTAAAATCATATTACACACACCGCGCGTACATGAATATTTATATAATATTGTGAAGTATTTTATTTACATTTCACACATATAAAAAATATAGCGCTTCAAGTTTATCCGTGACTTTTTTTTTTTTTTTATTCGTTGAATACGGACAATTCTATCGGGCTATCGGGCAACCGAATGGTCAAATCTTTTTACTAAAGCGGTCCGGGCCCGCGCGGGTAAATTGCCACCGAACGTTTTGGGATGTCGCTCATTCAATCACTGTTCGCACACCAAGGTTTCTTTAAGTATTATATCCATTACTTGCCGTCGAACATAACACAATAATATGTTACCGTCGACTAAACCGAGTGTACTTACAGTACTCTGGTTGTTTACTTTTTTGATGCATACGAATTTCGAAATATATTTGTAAAAATCAGGGGTGGCCAAACGGTCGATCACGATCGACCGGTAGATCGCAAGTGATTCAAATGTCAATCTCCATTTTGTTAGAATTTATTTTTTTGTAATTAGTAGATGAATAACAATTGCTGATTATTTTTATCTTAATATATTATATTCATTATGTTGTAAATTTATCAAGTAATACAATTCAACAGAGTTTATTCTGGCAATTGTATTTACAATATTATTATATTAGTCTTAATAATAGTGTGAAAAACATTATTTAATTGTACATTTTAGTTTTATTATTTTGTGCGATTATGTGTTTTATTAATACCTATTAGGTGTGATTATACATTATTGTAAGGAAGTCGATCCTCAAAAGAAAAATATATTCTTAGTAGATTTCTATCAAAAAAAATTTGGCCACCCCTGATGAAAAATATGCAAAAAATGAAACAGTTATGAAGAAAATGGGTACTTAGCGTGTAGCGTGGGTCGTACATATTTCGTGCAAAGTTAATTGGTTGTATGTATTTATGTTAGGTAACGTCAGGTTTTGATTTAAATAATCATTAGGAATCAAAATACATAGAACAACAATAGAAATACAATTTTATGGAAAAAGAAAAAAAACGATTTGTTAGAAAAAAATTCAAACGTGACAGTTTATTTTTATTTTTATAAATGATTTAAGGTCATATTTCCATGAAAATGATAAATATTACGATATTTTA